ATATTCATATAACAAAATATATACAAATTAATACCTAAATAGGGACATAGTAGTATACTTGAAGTATGATGTAAAGTTCACTTAAAGAAAACTTACGAGTATACTTGCCGTATAAAACTACTAAACTAGTAGTTTACTGAGACTATACTTCAAAGTGTACTAAAAATGCTACTACAAGTATTTAATTAGAAAACTATCAGTATACCTATAAGTTCCCTTTTAGTATTGTTGAATATTGATGTAAACTAGTTGTGTACTCAAGGTTTACTACTGTTATACTTAAAGTATACTTTTATATACTAGAAAGTGGGCCAATTTAGTCCCAAGGAGTATTGAAATAGTACACTTACAAGTATACTACTAGTACAAGGATATTTGTATACTTGCTACATAAAGTATACTTTAAAATATACTTGAACTTTACTTAAGTATACTTAATAAAATTAACTAGTATACTACTTTTTGGTAAGGGAATGCATACTTAACACATAAAATGCAGCGGAAAGGAAATGTCGTGGCCCTTACCAGTTTGTAAATCTGAACCAGAGGAACGACAATGCACAAAATCAACAGTAGAGCCTGAATGAAAATGATAGCATCCTTGACTCTCGATCTCATAAAGATAGCCTGGGGTTCACTGTATCCTGGAGAAGAAATAGAGAAATATGTGTACACAGGCTGGCGAAGAAAGCAAGCGAATAACATTTACAAAATGACACTTACTGCTCACTTGTAGCTCAGTTCCCGGTCCAAGCATGCCGTTCAGCTTGCAAAAGTAAGTGCCCCTGTCCTCAATCTCCACTTTCTTTATGGTAATGGAGGCATTTAATTTATCACTCTTCTCCGTTATCGTTATTTTTTGGCTGTTCTTGAGTTGGTCTTTGTAAGACTGGCCTTTGAACCACTCTACATGAGCCGGCAAAGACAGACTCGACGGCACACAGTATATTTTTACAGTCTGACCTGTCTTCACACCAACAAATCGTGGCTTCTGGAACACGTGGATATTTCCTTCAGCTGAAAAGATGAGACGGATGAAGAGAAAATACATAAGACAGAGCTCGTTTAAGGTCATTTTCAAGTTAGCAGCAGAAGTAAAACCAAGAAACATGCATGGCATTATGAAAGACACTAAACAGCGAGTACATCCCACAGTGTTATAATCTGCTTTAAACCATGAACTTCACGACATGTTTATTGTGAAAAAAGGATATCTGGCAAAAATGCAAACTTGTTTTGAAGCGATGGGACTTCCTCTTTCACTCACAGATGGAAAGGAAGAACAACACTAAAAACAAGTCTAGGGCAACTATAATATGCAAACTGTATATTCTGCAAATCCTGCGACTTTCAAATGTGAAACAAAAATCATATGAATAAACTGCTGTCCTAACATTTCCACAAAACGTGCACCAAAATGTTACATTTCAGACAGCAACCTATGTAAAGGCAAAACACAACAGCAGTTTTGAAAGTCTTAAGCAGTTCATTTACCTGAGAGGTAAATCAGCGCCATGACTGAAGATCCCAGCAGGAAGTAATGCATGATTCTTGATCCTGAAAAAGTCAGTGCAGGTCACATAGACAGAACAGAAGGAAGACGGCTCCACCAGAGTGAAGGGTGCAGGTCATGAAGCTGCGATGATACTGTTTCCGAGAAACATGCAAATCGATACACTCATGCATCAAAAGGTTAAGGAGCAAGTGAATCATCTTAATGCAAAATTTAAAGACTAATATTGTCTACTTTATCATGTATGAATGCATTTATGCATCACAGCATTAATGTCTTGGCTGAAAATTACCTAGTATGTTTTCCATTAAGTTTACAGGCATTTCCTTTAACCCTAAAACAGAATGCAATGCATTGTGTCATTCAAAATACAGGGGAAACACAAATACAGAAAATTCCTTAATATTAAAATGGTAGGTCTATATTGGGCTGTTTTGTTACAGACCTTTCTTAAGAGTGCATCATATCTTACCAAAAAAAGTTGCAATATGTAGTTGTAATATGCCCACAAACAGTTAAAGGGATAGTTCACCCAAAAATGAAAATGTGATGTTTATCTGCTTACCCCCAGGAAGATGTAGGTGACTATGTTTCTTCAGCAGAACACAAACGAAGATTTTTAACTCAAACCGTTGCAGTCTGTCAGTCTTATAATGGAAGTGAATGGGAATCACGGCTTTGAGTAAAAAAAAAACATACACAAACAAACCCAAATTAAACCCTGCGGCTCATGACAATACATTGATGTGTAAAGACATGAAACGATCGGTCTGTGCAAGAAACTGAACAGTATTTATATTGTTTTTTACCTCTGATTCACGCAATTTCCGAACTGTCCTTCGAATTATTTAATAATATTTAGTTTTTTCTACTTCAAAATTTCATGTTTAATTCAATGTTACTTGCCATTTCTTTGTAATTGTTTGTAAAATTTACTAGCAATTTCTGAGTGAAGTAGTAACAAATAAAAGTCACATTAAATGTGTTTTTCAGTGTCTTATTGTAGGGGGTGTGGTCTGACAAGTTTGGGAGCTGGTGTAAAATAATGAGAAACAAAATGACAAGGAAATAACTAAAATAATTTCAATGTTTTATAAAAATGATGGACTGGCTATCAGTCCCCTGTGTTTCTGTCAACGGCATGAGACAGTCTCCAACATCTCTGCGACCCTAAATACCTGAAGGACAAGCAGTTTGGAAACAGGCTGGATGGAAAAACAATGAGGTTTGTGTACTTTACCACTGCTGTTATGTGCAATGATTTAGAAGCAGGCTGTAATTCACCTGTTCTCTCTGAACTTTAAAACTGGTTAAGTGCTGGGAACTCAGTGGCCTAACGAGATGGCCAGATGACTGCTAACCACACACACAGGTTTGTTTTTGTGAAAAGTGGGGACATCCCATAGGCGTAATGGTTTTAATACTGTACAGACCGTATATTCTATTGCCCTACACCAACCCTACACCTAAACCTACCCCTCACATGAAACTTTGTGCTATTTCAGATTTTCAATACACTCCATTCTGTGTGATTTATAAGCGTTTTGAAAAGTGGGGACATGGGGTAATGTCCTGAAAAGTCACCTTCTCCTTGTAATACCTATGTAATTCCTTTGTCATTATACAAATTTATGTCCTCATTTGTCACAAAAACGCGCGCACACACACACACACACACACACACACACACACACACAAAACACTTCACTGTCTCAGTTTCTGATTGACTCAGATGCTGTGGGAACAACAACTTTCACCTTAATACTGTCTAGAAATAGTAAACATTTTTGAAAAGTTGTTTGTCCAATAAAAGCTTTTGCACTGGTAAGCATTTCTGAAGACAGGCAAGACAGGTCAGCAATATTTTTCTTTCTCCCACTATCAGTGAACATGCTTGTGAAAGCTATTATCCCCATAGCACAAATGCCAATGTATAGATCACTAGATTCCAAACTTATTAAGACTGGTTACCTGAGGTGAAGACATCTCTAGCGGGGGGTAAAAATAGAAGGAGTGAAACAAGAACAGCTATCCGGGCAGGGGCCACTGTGACACACAGAAAAAGTCATATGGAGCTCAAGTCTAATGGAAAAAAATGGTCTTGATAAACACCTCTTGGAAAACATATCCACAAACAACACATGATAGCATGCTAAGACTGTAAACGTCACTAAATCCTGACATGAGATGAACATGATACTGAAGAACTGCAATATGAAACAGCAATTCGAACCTTTAAAGCATGAAGAGACCCACGTTTATCTTATCAAATTTATTCTATGAACATTTTAAATGCACATTGAATTAAATGTTGTCAAGTGATGATACAAAGAAAAGACAGCATCTGAGAAATACGCTTCTATTTGCGAAGTGTATATACAGGCAAATAGAGGCGGGCAAAAGCTAAAGCACTGCAATGTCTCTTTCCTTGATAAAAATGTAAACAATAGAAAATCATCTGCATATGAACAATATCAATATGAAACCAAAAAGTGCACAAAACTGCACACAGATTACATACACGCTCATGAGATTTTTTTTTTCTCAACAAAATAAATTCTCATTTGAACATACAGTGAATTAATGCTTTTTGGTAATAAGAGACCAAATCTAAAAACTATACAAGAGGTAAATATAAATATCTCAAAAGTGCATTTATGAGTTTTAAGAAATAAGACATTTGCAGTCACATTAAGACTTCAGAGGAAATCCATCATTAAATGTCTCTAATACATTACAACTTTTAGCTATGACTCACAGTTACTAAAACAAATTAAGGTAAGTATTGTGTGTGGCATCTACTGGACACTTCAGGCTCTTTTTGTAAAGAAGGGAATCAATTATAAAGCAGTTATCAACTACAGGGTAATGCCCTTGTCACCCTACAAAAGATCTAAGTTCTAAGTTTGAGTAACATCTGGACAGAGAAAAATCTGATGTAAATCTGATGTAACTGCAACAGAGTTATCAGGGGAACTCAAATTTTCACAATTTATTCATCAGTTTATGATAATGGACACCATGGCACCCAATTCAAACGGGGCTTATTAGTGCTGTGCTGTCTTTGTGTTAAATAGTTATGGATGGAGTTATTCTATCTAGGTTTCTTTAGTTGACAACTTCTGAATAAGAACATGAAAATTGCATTCACTTTACAGGCTTGGTAGATTTTCAGCATCCTAGTAGAAGAAATCAAGCTGTTTTGACTATCAGGCCATTAAAAGGAAGTGCTACAAATTACACTATTTTTTCAATGCTTCAAGTTATAAATTAATTACTGTTACTGGGCACTATAGCTTCACTGTATATGAAGAGTTCATAAAGAGCTGATTGCTGGGCATTATTCTCCACATATAGCGCGATCTGAACCCTAAACACATTTTGTCAAAAAAGCCGGTTTTGTCCACTTTCAAGGCATCGCGAGTTCACGTTTTACTGCAGAAGCCGACAAGCGCCACTGTTGTTTTTGAACAGAAGCCGATAAGTCCATTTTAGCGAATCAGCGCACTGTATTCAGGTCAGGTGACAAGGCTACTTCACTTTGAAAGAGATGGTCCTCACTGCAGAACACTAGATCCAGGGGGCGTGGTTGGATCCAGGTTTTTTAAACTCTAAAACATGAAATGTGGCGTTATTTGCTTTTGCTAAAAAACGACTGTTGGAGTTATCCGCTTTTGCTATAAAACTAACTTTTAATATGTAAAAAAAAACTGACTTTAAATGAACTTTAATTTAGTAAATTACCTGTATTTGTTTAAGTTATTATTACTTAATCAAAACAACCCAACTGCAGTTTATTGGTTTCTCATTTTTAGTTATCGGTTTCTGCAAATGAACTCTTCATATGTTTTTCATAGTGGCACATTCTGCTCGAAGTGGCTCCATACACCCCACTGAAAAAGGATCAGTTTCTGATCTACTCGTTCCACCATTCTGTTGTAAACTGGTAAGCCATGAACTGAGATTATAAATAGTAAGTAATAAATTATAAGTGTTGACATATACTGTAGGGACTTGATCATTAATGACTGATCATTATTGGAAATAATTTAAAAAACAAATTATTAAGTGTCCAGGAGCTATAAATACTGCTACAATCTGCAACAAGTATGCAAAAAGATTATTTAAGACAAGGCAAAAACTATGATGAACCTGTAAAATGCAAGCTTATTGAGAAAAATGTGCTTTAAATATAGTAGAATTACTTGGTGTTAGTGTGTAGGGAATGAAACAGCTACATTGTGATAGTGATTTCATTCCCACCATGAAAATATTTTCGCCATATTGGATTTTTTTTCTTTTTTTTTGTTGGAAAAACGCACTTTTGCAAACTAGTCCCAGCTTTTTTTGCCCAAAAGGAACCAAACTAGTGCAGAAAGATCCTCTGGAGGCTGAATAACAATGATTATCCAAAAAAAGATGAACTTTCGACTCATCGCCATGATGGTGCCAAAAGTTCAAAGTGGGTGTGGCCACTTTTACTTAAATGGCAATAACCCTTGGACTGAATGAGATATATTCACCAAATCTGGCACATTTGTATATGGGCTCAATCTGATGTCACATGAAAAAAAATGCAGCACTTAGCCACTTGGTGGCGCTATAATGGAAAAAATAGAAAAAACTCTAACTGCGTGACCGCAAACATTTATACGTATAAGGGCAAAAGAACTTAGCTAAGTCATGACAAATGTACTGGGACATTTCTCAATGGGAACAAATAAAATTAATCCTAAATAAAACTTTACAAAAGTTTAAATAATAAAAAAACAGTACTCCCAAGAAATAGCATTCCAATGCTGTCACACTGTAGCAGTCCTGTGTAATCCTTTAAGCCATCTTGTTTATGGAGCATATGTTGTTCAGTGAGTGCAGGTGATACTCCTTTTTACATTGCAAGGATTATCTTAGTCCACCGTCATTGTCCACCAGTTATACTATTGACTCTTTTATCGTTGCATTCTCTGAACCGCAGAGGCCATGCGTTGTGGGTGCAGACCGGAGGATCACCTCACTTGTGAGCTCCACTGGTAGTACGAGTTGTCCCTGTGGTCGAGGGTAGGTCACTGATACTCTATGCTGTGTGACCGAATTGGGCTTGGGTGGCCGTGCATTAGGCGGCATTGGCCTCTGTAGCTCAAAAGCCATGGCGAGTTCTGGATTGCTGCCATACAGGGCATCCATTCTCTTTGCAATTAACCCTTCGGTTTCAGGAGGATCCTCATCACCCTGACTCCTAACTTTCCTCTTTGAACGATGCATGAAGCAGGCATAGCGGATAGCACGTTTGAGGAGATGTCTCCGGTATTTTCGTTGAACCGCAATGGCTGCGCGCTCTTCCTCTTTCCTCCTGAAAGTGGTGGTGATTGGCTCAAACGAGGCAGATGTGGGATTGTTCATTTGGAACTTGGCTTCAATGCTCTCCTTCATGGCAGCCATCTCAATCGTGTCTCCAAGAACCTCGTGGGTAACTGCCAAAAGAATATCCAGACAGTGGATTTTGTCGCCGGTTACAATGGGCAGATCCATGGTAATTAATTTGAGGCGGTTGGGTTTGGCAATTCGTAAAGGCTCCTGCAAGGTATCAACAAAGTCAAACACCCGGTTGTATTCAATGAACTGTGTAGCATCGACGTCAAACTTTTCCCACGTCTCGTCAAACATCTCAAAGTCATCCTCGCAGAGCGGGTCTCCACTCTCCTCTTGAGCAACGTTGAAGTTCTCGAGAATGATAGCAATGTACATGTTCACAACCACCAGGAACGACATGATAATATAACTGCAGAAAAACATAATGCCCATGCCAGGATTCCCACAGTTACCCCGGATATCTGTACCAGGGTTCTCTATGTCAGGGTCACAATCTGGAGGGCCGCTGTTCAGAATAGGCAGCAAAAGCCCATCCCAGCCTGCTGAGGTTGTGATCTCAAACAGGCAGATGATGCTGCCACCAAATGTTTCAAAGTTGAAGATGTCGTCGATGCCTGCCTGCTTTTTCACATAGGCAAAGTTAGCCATGGCAAAGATGGAGAAGATGAACATAATGAGGAACAGAAGCAGTCCAATGTTGAAGAGAGCAGGAAGTGACATCATCAAGGCAAACAAAAGAGTCCTAATGCCTTTTGCCCCTTTGATGAGACGTAGCACACGGCCGATTCTGGCGAGCCGGATCACACGGAACAAGGTGGGAGACACAAAGTACTTCTCAATGATGTCTGATAACATCAGACCTTGGGAAAGAAGAAACACGGGTTATTATAAACAATTTAGAGCAGTTACAGTAGGAAAGTATACACTGAGGTGCACTTGTAGAACTCTTAGTATCTAGTTTATCCAAATCAGTAAAATACTCTATAACAAACTATAATGTTTGACAACTATAATTCTACACCAACATAGGCTCATTGGAAAAACTTGGCAGAACTCCAAAAGGTACCAATATAGACAATTCACTGCAGGTCCCATTTGAAACGAACACTAGTGGCAAAATTACCTTTTTTTTTTTAATTTTTTTTTTTTACTTTTCACACAAATTAGGATTGCAGGGGCAGGTTATCGAATTACTTAAGACTTATTTTCACATGGTTCTTTGCACAATACTATGTTATGACCCTAAAACTCTTTTACCACAGTGTATGATTTGTAAACTAATACATTTTGATGTCTGCATCACATAACTAGCTTCATATGAATGGCTTTTCTGATGTAGTCAACTTGCTAACAGGTAGCGCACCTAGTATCATTGCACTCAAGTCACAATAAAAGAGCTCAAAGACTTAGAAGCAAGATAAAATGGCATGATTTCTTCAGCAAATGCATTTTTATCTCACATTTGCTTTTACTAACACTATCGGTTAGGTTTAGAGTAAGTTAGGTTTTGTTGTACGTGGTATTATTTTCAAACACGATAGAGCATTAAACATTTTAGCGCCACTCACTGGACATTTAATTTCAGAACTGCAGCAAAATGCATAACAACCAACGTAATAAATCATTTCTAGATTCACATTTATTTTTGGATAAAATTGAACACGCTCTTAGCATCATTCACTGGACATTTCACTTTGAAGGAGAAACATAATACAATTTTGCAGAAATGTTGTTCTACACTTACCTGCTACAGAAAGGATGACCACAACAAAATCAAAGACGTTCCAGCCAATAGTGAAAAAGTAATGTCTGAGGGCAAACATCTTGAGTATGCATTCTCCTGTGAAGACTACGATGAAGACCAAATTGATCTGATACAGGATATCTTCTTTCTCAGCACTCTGGTCATCTGTCTCTATCATCATGGTCACCATATTGAGGCAGATAAGCACCATGATAAAGATGTCAAAGAACTGTTTTGTTATGAAGTCAAACACCACACCCTGGATCTCGTTCTGTTAAGAGAACAATGTAGTGGATTAGTTTTTAAAAACTAAAAGAGATCTAATGCTGATATTCCAATAAAACATTTGTTGACAGTCAATTAGATGTTATGGTAAAAAAAAAAGCAATGGAAGAATCAATGTATGTCAAATGGTTCATACTGATGGCCGAGGGATGGGTTTCGCAGGTTTTTTGGAACCCAACTTCTTCATGGCATTGTAGTACTTTTTTTGTTCCTCTGTCATGAAAATGTCTTTCCCTCCAAAGTGCAGAAGAAACAAATATTAATTATTCTTTCTGGTAAAGAATGATCCAAATGTACAGCACAAATTAAAATAATTTGTTTAGTTAAAAAAGATATGCTTATCTTGGACTTTTGCTGATTGAAGTTGTCAATGATGACACCAATGAAGAGGTTGAGAGTGAAAAAGGAGCCAAAAATGATGAAAATAACAAAATATAGGTACATGTAAAGGTTGATCTCATATGATGGCTGCTCTTCCACCTAACAGAAAATAATCAATGAATGCCACAATAAAAGTAAGTTACACTAAGTAAGTTTTTAAATTCTAAACAGAAATAAGTCAGATTATTTAAAGTACCCCTATTATGCCATTTTTAAGGCCCCTAATATTGTTTTGGGAGTCTCCTACAATAGGTTTACATGTATGCAAGGTCAAAAAACTCAAAATTAGCATTTTATATCACCTCATATTCATCCAATTAGTTCAAAGCAGTTATAAGATTCAGTCTCTCTAAACCCCTCTTTACTGCATGTCGTAAACGATCCGCCCATTGCCATAGTTGAGTATTTTGAATGCTCAATAGAAGATATAAACATCTATTATTTATCATACTTACAGGTTGTGATTCAGTGGAGCCAGCTGATCCAAATAAACTGGGTACTGAGCCTTATTTCAAGAGCAAGCGTTTTGTAAATCCCGTGTTGAACTCCCCAAGATTAGAGAAGTAGTCGTCGGTAAAATGACGGGAAAATGACAAAAAAAGTTTGGGGTTGTACTGCTGTGGTACAGTGAAAAAAATAAATTAACCACTGATTCTTTGCAGCCTAATCTTTCGGAAGTGAAAATAAAACAAATTTACTTTCACAGCATAGGATGATTCTCGGCACGAACAAGCTACAGTGTTTGAGTTTGAGGGCGGGTCAAGTTGTAGAACATAGGCGGACATTATGCAAGTGTGTTATGTGTAGCCGTCACAGAAGTGGGATTCAAATTACTGACGACTCGTTTAGGCTGTTCAGAGTTGATTCTTTCTTTTGGGAGATAATGACTATATTTACCGTGCACCTTCGCCTTTACAACTTTGCAGATTGTTTACATTCACATACAGCTACATTACACACTGCATGAAAGGCTACATTCGAAATGGCATAATAAGGGCACATTTAAAAGGGACATCGGATGCCCATTTTCCACAAGTTGGTATGATTTTTTAGGGTCTTCATGAAATGTCTGTAACATAATTTGGTAAAGATTCCTCAACGGTCGCGTAAAACAACACCCTTTTTTGCCCTTTTTTTTAACAAAATCAGCTCTGTTCACAGCGACTCGTTTCGAAGCATGTCTCTTCAAATGATAATAAGCTACCGCTCACCTCACGCCTCTCTTCCATGGGGCGTGTCGACACAAGATGTGTGAATTGCTGCCTTGGACTCCGTATATGGCTCGGAGGTGGTCTTATTCAAATAGCTAGCTAGCTATCTACGTAGAAACCGGCTGCAAATTGAAACAGCTCACGTGATGACACCGTTTCAGACTCAGACAGCGCATAACTGGCTGCGTGTTTTCTTTTCAGCTTTTCTGAGCTGGCAGACATGCCAGAAACCAAACTAATTGCAAAAAAAGCTAAAAACGTAAAAATTTCATCCGATGTCCCCTTTAAGAACTGACATTGTTATTAAAATAAGCTGTTGAACAGGCAAGTCATTATTCCTTTTATTAATCTTTACCTCCACTACAGAACTCAAATCAATGGCACAACTTTGATGTCATGATGTTTGGATATGAGAACCAACAAAATCTGATTTTACTGAGGTTTGGAAAGACATGAAGATGAGTATATGATGGAGGAATTTTTATCGACTATTCAAATTTGTTTAAGAAATTTGTTCATGAATTTGACACCACATTGCACTGTTCGTCTTTGTATACAATCAGCGAGGACAACATAACAGAAAGTTGTGCTGACTATTAATTGTGAACTCACAACATGTGTGCATATACTACATTAGATGTCTTCATTCAACATATAGAATTGCATGGTACCAGTTGTACAGGTGGAAAGATTGTCATTCACGTACCTCTCTAGAATCCACTGCAGCATACATGATATCCATCCAGCCTTTAAATGTGGCCTATGTGGAGAGAAGTACTTTCTGAATATCAGTATGTCGTGTAAAACCCATTTATTGATTATGCATTTGTACTGAATTACCTCTGTGTCCTCTGATGCATAAAAAGGAAAGGACATGAAAATACATTCACTGTCTGTAAATATGCTTATATGCTTCAGTGTCTGCACTGAATTGCTCTCTTCTTTTTTTACATTTTTTGCTTAGATTCAATAAATGCTCACTTTATTCTTTTGAGTTCTGAATATGCTTCATCTTTTTTTTCTTCGAAAGATCAAGCTAAATTTATCATGATATGACTGTTTATGGTTGCGTGTGTACCATATATAATATGTAAAAACGTACAATTTGAAGTAGAGAGAGGTAGCCGGTTCCCACATTGTCATAGTTGACCTTCACATTGACCCAGCGCGCCTCATTGTTGTGCATCAGTGCCATACAGTCACTCATGTTGTTGACCACATCCATCGGGATGCGTTCCTCCGTAGTGGTGTTGACGCAGTGGTAGAACTTTCCAGCAAACAGATTGACTCCCATTATGCTGAAGATGAGCCAGAATATCAGACACACCAGCAGCACATTAAAAATAGAGGGAATGGCACCAACCAGTGCATTCACTACCACCTGTATGGGACATAAACACAATCATGAATTAGAGACAAATGAGTTATCGATATTTGTGCAAATATTTATTTTCACTTAAAGGGTCATATGATGCTATTTTAAAGATCATTATTTTGTGTTGTGCATATTTGGGTGGCATTATGATAATATTTCCACATAGTGACATAGATATGTGGGGGCGTGTTAGAATCAGCCGTTTTAGGTAGGTGTGGGTGACTCTTAACTTTTATAAAGAATATCTCTTTGGATTTGAGACTTTAGTGTTTGCAACTTTACAGATTTTCTTTATGCACCAAGAGCTTGTAACACTCCAAAGAGAAAGGAAAACTTGAAATCGCATCATATGACCCCTTTAACTTAATTTAAAGACATTTCACTCAGAAATGTTAAAAACATACAGTGTGAAGTTGATACTTAAATGAGGTAAAACACTATGTCCTTCAGGATGAATAAAGAAAAAATGCTTCTAACAAAAATAGGGACTTATTGTCATAGCTCTAAACTTTTCAAAACACTTTTGAATCCCCCCCCCCCCACCAATCTTTAGAAGTGTTAAAATACTAAATATGAGTTTCTAACTTCCCCTTTCCTGCTTAAACTGTGAAAATTAAAAAAAAAAATCTAATTTGAATCATATTGCCAATCATTTGGTATTTATGTAGATATTTTTTGTGACAAATTCCCAATACTGCTATCGTTATCATCCAACCAAACCTTTTATTGACTGCTTGCTAACTTGTTGTGTCAGCAAGTCCAAACAAATATTCCTTCAAAAACATATGCCATTAGAAAAATTAAATATCAAAAATCAACACTATCACACAATATATCAAAATCCAATTAAAGGTTAATCAAGGTCAACTTCAGATCTTTATTCCAATCGAAAAGTCACTCACAAATACATAAACGAAGACAGAGTCATTCCTTACCCTCATTCCCTCAAATCTTGACAGAGCTCGAAGGGGTCGAAGAGCCCTGAGTGTTCTAAGAGATTTGATTGGTCCCAGCTCAGAATATCCCATTAAATTGGCTGTTAAACTGACTAGCGACACCTTGAATAAAATAGCAGATGAAAAAATCTATACACACAGACTTGTCTTTGTATTTGCTTATAAGGGTAAAGCTTTGGCAAAAGTCTAAAAAGTAAACTCACATCCACAATGAGGAAGTCCAGCCAGCACCATGCATTAGTGAAGTAGGTTTTGAAACCATATGCCACCCACTTCAGTAACATCTCCACTATGAAAACGTATGTAAAGACTTTATCAGCATACTCCAGGATAGTCTTGATCACTCTGCGGCGCTCAATGTTGATATCCTCAAAAGCCTGACAGAATAAAAAAAAATCAATGCATTAAACATGAATGGATTTATATGTTCCTATTTCAGTACAATGAAATAAAAAAACAGCAGATTTAATATTGCACACATGTAATAACGTAACTAGAGTGCAGAGTTTACTAAGCATTGGCTCAGTATTGACAGACACACCAGTGCTCCACTGCTAAGGAGGATCATAAAGATGATGAACGTCTCAAAGTAGTCATGCTCAACGATGGTGAAGCATGTTCTTCGAAGGTTCCACCACTTTTCCCCCCATCCTTCTGTGATGTCTACATTCAAACATGTAAATCGCTTAACACAACCTAAGTAAAAAGAGAGAAAAATACATCAATTAAGATTTTTCTGGCCTTGAAGTGATGCCATGAGCGTTAACATTCCTAATGAAGGAAAATGCATGCACACCTTCTGTGAAACAGGACTCTGGCTCTTCAGGCTCTGGTTCTTCTTCCTCTTCGGGCTCAGGCTCAGGTTCTGGAGGCCGGTAGTCCACTGTGCTACAAACTGAAGATTCTTCATCATTAAGAGTGGCCTGTGCAGCAAGAGATGTAAAGAAATGAGAGAGAAGGAAAAACAAATGTGAGGGGAACAATGCAGAGTATTAAAGTAATGTTTCCTGATATTTTGAGACAAAAGAGTTTGAAGTGTTGGCACTGGTGATAATTTAATTTCTAGCAATAAACATTAAACAAAAATTATTGAATTAAATTTATATATATATAGTATAGTACAGTATATATACGTAATATAAAATACTTTTTATATGATACAATTTTTAAATACATAAAACACTGGGTAATAGGGTATATTTACTAATTACTTATATACATATATTTCCCATGAATTATTAACATTTTTTAAAATACATTCTTTTATAATAAATTTGCTGAGGGGTGAATGACTGAGCCTGAGAAATGCAGTAGATTTGTGTAAAAAAAATCATAAAGATAAAATAAAATGATTTACTTAATTATGTTTAAATGTGTTACATTTATAATTTGGAGTCACAATTTTAGGAATGTTTTGTTATTTCAATTAGATTTGCTACAATGAATTAGAAAAGAACTGAACAGATAATGTCAAAATGATGATGTATTATTTTATTTAACACTAGGGTGGGACAGGCCAAAATCACAATTTTAAGGGGGAAATACAGACATTTAATGTGTTTAAAATGTGTTTATTATTATTATTATTATTTTTTATTTTTTTTACTTTACTAATTTTAGTTTGATTTTAAAAGGTTTATCTAGCATAACTAATAGTAGTTTTCTCACCATAGAATACATGGTTAATGGTACACAACTGTACACATTATTCTAGATAATGAGGCAGGCAGAGAGAGCGGATAGGTTGTTGTTTTACCTTTCCATCCTCCTCATCAGAAGATTCATCGGAGTCCTCATCCTCTTCAACATCAGACTCACAATGAGCAATAGGTACAGTCAGTGTTGGAGGCAAACAGTTGGTCAAGCCATCTGCCATTTTCCCCTCATCCAGGTGGTTTATAGCATACAGTTCTATGTCTCCTTCCCCTCCTCCCTCATTATTGTCAGGAGGTTTCTTTCCTAGAATCTTTCGCAACATACTGACGATGAAGGCTTTGAGCCAATCTACACCCCTGGTGATGCGACCAATGGCAATCTGAAGGTTGTTCATCTCACCATCATCATCACCTCCAGACAGGTTATCCCCGCTGAAGGAGCTGAGCAGCAGGGCCAGGAACAGGTTCAATACCTGAGAAGTACAGGTCAGAATGAGGTTGGCAGGTTGAACACATATAAGGCGTTCCTGTAGATTAAGTCGTAAACGTGTACACAATTGCCATGCTACAAGTTACCTATAATTTAAGCTACTCTTTTAAAAAAGAGACCAATTAAATATTTAAATGAATAGTTATTTAAAAAGGAAGACCTAAATGCTAAGCAGGAACTAAATTAGGCGACACATTTACTGAAAAAACAAATTCACTACAAAGATTCAGATTTTCAAAGCAACGTAACATAGAGAAGATCATTTATGAGATATGAGATTGCATTTACAGCTCTTTTAGCTTCAAAGCTGTGTAAAATGTGTTACATTTAAAACAGTGATGAAGCTCTGGAAAAATGACAGTTGTATGAAAACAGTTGTCCCACACTGAAAAAAAAGATTTTCTAGAGCAGTGGTTCTCAAACCTCTCCATGAAGTACCCCCAGCACTGCACATGTTGTATGTCTCCCTATATCTGACACACCCACTTCAGGTCTTGCAGTCTCCACCACTGAGCTGATGAGTTGAATAAGGTGTGATAGATGAGTGAGACATACAAAATGTGCAGGGCTGGGGGTACTCCAGGACAGGTTTGAGAACCACTGTTCTAGAGATTACGGTTTATAAAGTTTTAGATATGGATATTTTTCTTACACGAATGCATCGATTCGCTTCAGGAGGCCTTTATTAACCCCCTGGAGCCATGTGGAGTACTTTTTATGATGGATGGATGCACTTTATTGGGTTTCACTTTATTTTGATGGTCCCTTTAACACATTCTGTTGACTATAGGTAACGTTGCACCTACATGTCTACTAACTCTCAATTGAGTGTTAGTAGAGTATTAGTAGACTGGTAGGGTTAGGGTTCGAATAAGTTGACATGTACTTGCAAAGTTACTTATAGTCAGTAGAATGTCTGTTGGGAGACCATCACAATAAAGAGTTAGCAGATATTAAGCAAAAAGTCTACTAATACTCTAATGTGAGTTAGTAGACATGTAAGTGCGACGTTATTTATTGTCAACAGAATGTTCAAAAGGGACCATCAAAATAAAGTGTTACCCAATTTTTTTATTATAACTCAAGACTGTATTTGTCTGAAAGCCTTAAGTCATATACACCTGGCTTGAGGGTGAGTAAATCATGGGGTAATTTTCATTTTTGGGTGAACTATCCCTTTAAAGTATGTATTAATCTTATTTAATGTTAATGTTAACATTTACTAATGCAGTACTAAAATCAAAAGTTGTACCGATAAATATAAATATTAAATACCGCTAACATGAACTAACAATGAAGGGTTTTAATTTTTATTAACTAACATTTACAAAGGTTAATTAATACTGCAACAAATGTATTGCTCATTGTTAGTTAATGTCAACTAATGGGAACTTATTGTGAAGTGTTACCAATACATGTTTAGAAATTGTTTTTTTTGCAGTGTAGTGACATACTACTAAAAATTCTACACTGAATACACATATTCAGCTTGGTGCAAACTTTCAGTGTTATATGTGATATAAGTGAACATAATATTAGATAACATCATTCAAGATTCAGTAATAAAAGCTAGTTTCACAAATAATTGGTTCCCAAGTTATACACAGCCAGGAACAGGTTTAGGTAAGCCCTGTCGTAATGAAGTTTCAATAAATATTATGTTGTCTGGAAGCCTGGGGCAGGGATGCTATCTTTAGGGTTGATGCACACTAGACATAGCACATAGTTACAGCAGCCATGGCTGGCCTCATTTATCTCACACTTGGGCACAGACTGAGAAAGATAGAAAAGAAACCAGGCACAATTTTATGTAGCTAAAATTACATAATTCCATGGAGAAAGTTGTAGGACATCATTTCATGAGAATGAAGTCAGGTCATTTCAACATCATCAATTTTTGCTCACATCACCATATGGTACAATAAATGTTGTAATATTACTTTTTCCAGCAATTCAGTACTTATATATATATCTTTGACACTGTGGATATTAATTGAATCAGGGTATGCGGGGGTATTTAAAGCTCATGGCCAAAACAAAAATACATCATTGCCAATGAATCCTCCTTAGTCAAGTTTCTCAATGCTATATTAATCGTAATAGAGTCATGATACTATAATAATAGCCCTGCAAATCAAAGCACACATTATTTGGCACTCAGTCACAACTTAGTGCAAAATGCCCAGACCATTTGACAACATATCAGCCTAATGTATGAGATACATCAAGCTTCCTGAGAAACACAACAGTGTGATTTTCACATTGCACATCAGAGCTCAATGCCAAATGAGGCCTCTGATATTTAGTTTCCCATCTTACACTCCTCTAGCCTACTTTTTTTTTTTCATCCTGCCCACTAAACTTAGAGTGCAGATGCAACTCATGTCAATACTGATGCTCTACGTATATGATTTCATTGCTCTCCATCATGAGCAGTTATTCTGCTGGTTTTGCTTCAGGACCCTCTGGTTAGGATAAGTAAACCATTTTAACATGCAAATAACATGCAAATGTTAAAAAAAAGAAAACAAGAAAGAAAAAAATCCTCAAATTTAACCATTTAACATTGGAATTATTAATAATTAATTTATAATGATGTACACACATTTTTGTTTTATTTGACTTTTGGTCCCACTTTATATTAAGTGGCTGTAATACCTGTGTACTAACATAGTAACTAGATGTGTACATAGTATGTAACCACAGTGTAAGTACACATTGGTACATAGTATCTACAGCTGTAATGTTTGTGTAACTACACACATGTAACAACCCACTGAATGGTATGTGTAAATACAAATGTGTAACAGGACATTGGTAACAACACTTTTTGGTAATGAAAGTACAAATGTGTAACAAGATTAGCAGCACTTTTTGGTAAAGAAAGTGTTAAACTTTATATTAAGCAAACAATTCCTATGGATTTACCATGTAATTACTCTGATGTTACACAGCAGCGGCCAGTAAGTTAGGCTTTGCATATAAATTGTGGTTGGTGTCCAGAATGTTACACTTTATATTAAGTGGACAGTTCCTGAGGAGTTACCGTGTAAGTACACTGGTATTACAGTGGTGCACCAACTCCACCAACTTGAGATCCAACTCCTCCCACTTTACATATCCCTAAACCTACCCATTTCCACCCCTAAACCTACCCATCTCCACCCCCTGGATCAAATTGCTCCAATTACTTTTATACATATTGTTGTTACAAAATGTAGTTATATATGTCCTGTTACACATTTGTACTTACACAAACCATTCAGAGGTTACAGAAATATTACAGCTGTAGATACTATGCACCAATGTGTACTTACCCTGTGGTTACATACTACGTACACATCTAGTTACTATGTAAGTACACAGGTATTAGGACCACTTAATATAAAGTGAACATTTGACAATGATATTTATAATGTTACAAATGATTTCTATTTCAAATTAATGCTGTTTTTTAGAACTTTCTATTCATCAAAGAATCCTGAAAAATCATGGTTTCCACAAAAATATTAAGCAGCACAACTGTTTTCAATAATGAAAAATGTTTCTTGAGCAGCAAATCAGCATATTAGAAGGATTTCTGAAACATTTGACAATGATATTTATAATGTTACAAATGATTTCTATTTCAAATTAATGCTGTTTTTTAGAACTTTCTATTCATCAAAGAATCCTGAAAAATCATGGTTTCCACAAAAATATTAAGCAGCACAACTGTTTTCAATAATGAAAAATGTTTCTTGAGCAGCAAATCAGCATATTAGAAGGATTTCTGAAGGATCACGTGGCACTGAAGACTGGAGTAATGATGCTGACAATTCAGCTTTAGCTTCACAAAAATAAATTACACTTCAAAATATATTCAAATAGAAACCTGTTACTTTAAATAGTGATATTTCCCAGTATTACTATTTTTACAGTATTTTTGATCAAATAAATGCAGCAATGAGCAAATGAGCAAAAGAGACTTCTTTTAAAAAACATTTAAACTCCAAACTTTTGAATGGTAATGTATGGTCAGTTCCATTTTATTATTTGCATTTATCATTGTTTTTTTGTCACGGCTCATTAGTTACTGTATAAAGTATAGGTGAGGAGCTGGCACATGAATCTTCAGCTCCTGCTGCTGTGTTTCTCAGCTGTCCGTGTTTGTTTCTTGTGTGCCAAGACACTCACTTGAGCTGCATCTCAGGACACAGCCAAGATCAAAACCACTGTTTGCTGGCTCCAGTCATACGATGTACGAAGTGCAGAAGAGTGTAACCACATGAAGAATATGTATGTGTGCGTGTGAAAATGTATGTTAGCCATGTGCCATGTTGAGTAATGATGCTTTTGTTAGCTCGCTAAGATAGGCCATTTCCTTTTCTCACTATGTATAACCTGAGAGGAAGTGTTTTCAGTCAGCAGTTCCAGTATGGTAATTATGTGCACAGCTGCGTCTCCTTGATCTGTATCGACACGTGAATGCTAGTTTTCACTTAAAAACAACAATGACTGCTTCCTATATGTTAACACTAATTCTTAATAATAATGCTACTGAAATGAGATCATATTTAATAATTTATTTCTCATTGCAATGTTCTTAGTTGCAGGGTTAACTAAAATTAAAACCATAAAAACCATTACTTGAAATAAAATAGAATATAAAAGCCTTAAACTTATTTTATTTTATTATTTTAAGTGCTAATAAAACTAAAACTAAATCAACTAGAACTAATAAAAAATAGAAAAAACAAAACAAAAAATGAAAACAAAATAAAAATAAAATCTAATTCAAAATATTAACAAAAACTCTAATAATATATCAATGCTACTAAAATAACACTGCTTAGTTGCTTGTGATATTTATTGAAGTCCAGCACTTATACGGTGCCTTGCATATGAAAGTTTAAATGTTATGTCTAATTAACACCTGGTTACTCAGAGAACTCAGACGCTAACTGCTGTGCCACCTGAATGTCAGCAACAGCCAGCCTGCCATCAGCTGTGCTGAAAATCCTTTGGGTTTGGCTTGGTTGCTATGCTAAATCTTCAGATCAGTACAGCTTCAGGGTAACAGTTATAAAGATTAACAGTTTAGCAGTGACAGCAGCTGTCTAATGATAATAGCGTTCCCTTTGAGTGTGAAAGAAAATAGTATCATATCAGAGCTGCGCTGCACTAAAAGCTTTAGAAGTTCTTGCACATGCAGTGTACTGCAAAAAAAAAAAGAAAAAAAAAAAAGATTTTCTTCCCTAGTATTTTTGTCTTGTTTTACAGTACAATGTACTTGATTTAAGAATATTGAGATATTTGTACCGGAAAACACGACATCACATACAAATTCACCAAATCAGCAAAGTTGAGTGTTTTCCTCCCATAATGTTTGACTCTTATTGTGTTACTACAATATCAGCTTCACTTACCACAAGGTTTCCAATAACCATGACCATCATGAAGACGATCAAGCACATGTTCGCTCCCGCCACCTCCATGCAGTCCCACATGGTCTCGATCCACTCTCCACACAAGATCCGAAAGACGATGAGGAAAGAGTGGAAGAAGTCGTTCATGTGCCAGCGGGGCAGCTCGCAGTCCTGAGAGATCTTACAAACGCATTCCTTGTAGCTTTTGCCAAAAAGCTGCATGCCCACCACGGCGAAGATGAAGACGATGATGGCCAGGACAAGTGTTAGGTTCCCCAGGGCACCTACTGAGTTGCCAATTATCTTGATCAGCATGTTAAGGGTTGGCCAAGATTTAGCCAGTTTGAAGACACGTAGCTACTTCCAGCACATCCGTCAGAGATGGGCACAAACACACACATACCGTGAGAGACACAATAGCATACAAAATTAAACCACATATCATTTTCCTTTCTTAAATTCATGCATTTTACAGAGAATATAAATCATGCAAACCATAAAACAATGAAACAGATTGAGAGGTTGAGATTCACTTACCAAACGGAAGGACCTGAGAACGGACAATCCCTGAACATTGGCCAGTCCCAACTCTACCAGGCTGAGGGTTACAATGATACTGTCAAAAATGTTCCAGCCCACCTGGAAGTAGTAATAGGGGTCCATAGCTATGAGCTTGAACACCATTTCAGCTGTGAAGATTCCTGTAAATACCTTGAAGAATAAGATTTAATGTGATGTGAGATAGTCAGTTTAAGGTTACTAATAACCTTAATTAATGGCAGGCCAATTAAAACCTGTTAATCATGCTTTGCTGTTATTTAAAGTTACAGTTACTTTTTTCTGATGCTAATGTACTTAAATGACTTTAAAAAAAAAGAACGCTTTTGTAGAGTTGTGCAAGGATATGCTTTCTAACGCAAGCCCAGAAAAGGAAAAAACAGTGATACTTTGCAATAAGGCCACTTGTTACAGTTAATGCATTAGCTAACATGAAATAACAACGAGCAATAGAGTTTTCATTTGATACAGTATTAATAAATCTTTGTTAGCATTAGTTCATTTAACGTTAGTTCATGTTAGCTCAGGTCAATGAAAAACTATTAATAGAAAACTTTTGATTTTCTAACGTATTAGTGATTGTTGAAATTAACAGTTACTTGGATTAATACATGTTTTAGAAGTATTTTCATATTAATGTTAACAAATGGAACCTTTTTGTTACCAAAATGCACTTATGCAATGTATTACAGTTGCTGTTTACACAGTGCTTCTGTTATTTTGTTAAGCTTCATATTGATTTGAGGTTCCATTCTGATTTATGCTGGTTTGGTGCTGATTTCCCTGATTTTCTTCTTTTTTTTTTTTGGTTAACCAGCATGGCTCACACGACACGACCAGAGCCGTCCTTAGGGGGGGGGGCAACGCGGGACCCACGTCAGCTAAGGACGGCCCTGGACACAACCATATTTTTTCAAGACACAACTTGCTATGCTATACATTTTAAACTGGGTAAATACTCAAAGATTCATATTTTGACAGTTATTTGACAATAAACCGTAAGAATTGATGTAACACTAACCAAGTTGCCCACTAAGAGAACATGTTCGAAATCCGGACTCATGGGGTAGTGCTCCATGGCCATGAAAAGTGTGTTGAGCACAATACAGATGGTGATACCTAGATCCACAAATGGGTCCATCACTACAAAATGAACCCACTCCTTAAATATGATCCAGGGAGTGCAGCAGTCCCATTTAAAGAAAATATCAGCAAACTTATACCAGCCAGGGGGACAAGGCCTCTGAGCATCTTCCAAATCTAGGGAGACAAAGAGAGATGGAAAACAATATCTGAACAGTTTTCGTTTACAGTGAGCAGTGAATGAACACCGGCAGAGTGACAGCAACAAGTTCTGTCTGTCTAAAGTCAACCCATGGCTCTGAAATAGCCCAACGATTAGCACCACTCATATGAAGTTAACAGGTTTTTCTCCACACACAATGAGTCTGACCTTTGCTTAGGATAAATCTCTATCTTCAGATGCTCTCAGGCTGTTCTGTCAGACCATGGTACAATAATCTATAAATAAATAAACTTCAGGGACATAAAAATCGCCAGTCTAAGCCCAGTGCATTTACATTCCTGCTATTGGGACTTCACAAGAAATAGTTGAGGGTTTTCAGCATGTCTTTGATCATGTCATGGTTATAAATGTACTGCATTTGAACTTTTATGTACCAAACTATTTTGATGTCTAAAATCTTGACGTCCTGACATTCTGAAACATCTGGAGAAGCATAATAAATGGAAAAACTTGACATGCTCAGTAACAAAGCTACTTAATAAGGTATTTAAATGAATATCCTTTTAATTTGCAGTTAATCGACCCTCAAGGAGTTTCTTCAAGCTAGTACCCTCCATAGTTGCAGTGAGCACACTGATAGCACTAGCTGTTCTCTTGGAGAGTTTGGGCTGGTCCAGGTACTGCATGCTGTGTTTGGAGCTCATGGATTTGTGGTCGTCTTCAGCTGATAACTGGAGGATAAATGAAACAGTACAGATGTCATCACAATGGCAAAACATACTAGTACTAGTAATACTATCTGGAGTGAAGCAATTGTGATTTTGAAGTTTGCAATCTCTAAATGACTAGAAAAGAGACTTCTATTTAACATTCAGTTATTACAATAAGTTCATACTGAATCTAGACATACACTAGTAGGTATGCATCAAACTCATACTCTGTGGTATGCATCAAAAGGTCATTATAATCATGAGATCATCAACATTCTGTCAAGTGTGTTGAAACTTTTGACAGGCTATGTATAAAAAACACTAATCAGAGGTGTAAAAAGTACTGAAAAATTGTACTTCCTTTAAAGTACAGATACTATGTCAAAAAACTCTACTCAACTGAAACTCCAGGTACCTACCCAAAAAATTTGAGTGAAAGTAAAAATATACACATTTAAATGTACTTAAGCGTTTAAAATATTTGAAAAATTATGAACTTTGTAAAAACAAACTGTCAGAATATACTTTCTCATTGTTCTGAATATACAGTATAAAACTATAAAACTCTGTTTTTTCTGAAAACAAATTCTGAAAACAGTTACCTGAACATTTTCAGGAGATGATTTTACAGTGATTTAACAATATAGTGATTTTTAGATTAATAATTAAGAGTAATCATGAACCGTGTTCACACTTGACTCAAGTTCATCCATTGCCAATACCATTCTAATACTTTTCACATGTACAAAATAATATTATTATCTAGCGGTTACAAGTACTGTTAGTACTAATTGTTGTTTTAAATATGCAATGACATAGTTGAGTAAAAATGGGAAATATTTAATAACCTTGACCTGACTTCACCTTCATTGTCTGTGTACGCTTTGAAATCAAAAGCATCTGTGACGTTGAGGGTGGTGCCATTGACCATGGTGGAGTTGTAGTCATCAAAGATGGTGCTGTTGGCAATGGGCCATCGGATGCACTTGTGACGTAGATTTCCCATGAACAGCTGAAGGCCAATGAGGGCAAATACAGCCAGTGCAAAAAGAGTCAAAATCATTACATTCACCATCTTCTTGACAGACTGAATCAAAGCCCCGACGATGGTTTTCAAACCTGAGCAGAAAGTGCAAGGTGAGAGCTTTTTGAAACTAACTTTTGAAAAAATGGATAATAGAAAACATGCAACAGAGAAACAATTTTTTTGTTGTATACAGTATGTAAGACATATAAAGCTCATGCTGAAAAAAAACAATACAATGCAAAGGTGTCATTAATTTCCAGAAATAAATATTTGCATACAAAGCTATAGAAGAAAACAAAAAACATAATTGAAAACAGTTGCTTTTGTGTGGTTCTGTGGTTTTCCATTTTGTGTGCCTTTTAAAGTACTGTAGCATTACATACATCTATTACATACCAGGAATAACTGTGATAGTTTTGAGAGCTCGAAGCACACGAAACGTCCTCAGTGCTGACACATTACCAAGGTCTACAAACTCTGTGATGTACCTGGAAACAATCAAACCTCAAATCAGCTAATGTATAATATGCCTGAAATACAGAAAACGTTGTATGGGCCAGTTTTATGATACTTATATGGTGCTTTTGCATCCATTTGAAACTTGAATGCTTAATTCGTAATTAATAGTAATTGCATAGAAAAGATGGATCAGCAAAGTCTTCAGCATCTCAGATGTTGTGTTCCATGGTAAAAGATGATTCATAATGGCAAAATAGTCCTCTAGTCATTTCTTTGGGTTAGCAGTTCCTGGCAGTGGAAAGTGATTGGTTTTAATATATGTTATATTTAGATCTGTCAACCATTGTGGCCAAATGGCAGCATTAGTTGACAGTCACTGAGGTGGTGTCTGAATGATACTAAGCATGCAGGATATCACTTGTGTGAAAATCGCAAAAATTAGATTGAAGAACCACAACTTCTTAAAGGAATAGTTCACCCAAAAATGAAAATTTGCCTAAAATCAGGCGATCTAAGATAAGGACGAGTTTGTTCCTTCATCCGAACAGATTTGGGGAAATTAAGCGTTACATCACTTGCTCACCAGTGGATCCTCTGCAGTGAATGGGTGCCGTCAGAATGAGTCCAAACAGCTGATAAAATCATCACAATAATCCACACCACTCCAGTCCATCTATTAATGTCTTGCCAAAGTGAAAAGCTGCATGTTTGTAATAAACAAATCTATCAGTTTAATTTTATAAACTGCCAAAACGCTTCCTCCTCTAGTGAAAAGGTCCATCTCCTGTTTCCCTCTCACATCAAAATCCACCAACATATTTGTTTAGAAATGTTTTGGCTTGAACAGTGCTTGATCTGTGCATATTTATCTCCTGATTTAGGCGAGACAACTTTTTCACTGAAAAAAGCAATATTGTGGATAGAGGACTTGTTTAAAGTTAAAAACACCTTAATGATAGACTGGTTTCTTACAAACATGCAGCTTTTCACTTCATAAGACTGAGTGACAAGATGAATTGATGATTAATTGTTGGACTGGAGTGGTGTGGATTACTTGTGGATTATTGTGATGTTTTTATCAGCTGTTTGGACTCTCTTTCTGACGGCACCCATTCGCTGCAGAGGATTCACTGGTGAGCAAGAGATGTAATGCTACATTTCTCCAAATATGTTCAGATGATAAAACAAAGTCATCTACATCTTGGATGGCCTAAAGGATTTTTAAGTAAACTTTTTCTTTAATAACATATTCGTATGTGTGTATGTATATAGAGTCATTCTGTATATATGAATTGAAATACTCACGCCATGCTGATCACCATGAAATCAAGCCAGTTCCATGGATCACGGAGGAATGTGAAAGGTCCGATGACGAAGCCTCGAGACAAAACTTTGATTGTCGCTTCAAAGGTGTATATACCAGTAAAAACATACCTACAACAACAAATAAACAAATAAATATATAGAAAACAACATGTCTTGTGAATAAATTAGCATAAATATGTGTTGCAGAGTCACAATTATAATGTGCTAGTATTAATACTGCACATACAGTATAAACCAGTTGTAAATGACAAGTATACATTTTTCTATTACACATTTGGGACAAATTTAAAATACAAATAAAAAAATTAACCAACGCAGAAATTTATAATTATTTCATATAGATATTTTCCTTTTTTTTATGACTCTATAACCTTTAATCTCTCCTAAATTAGTTGAGACTTCTGCTAGTACTCAACAGATTTAGCAAAGTCACTTCCACTAAAAATGTGTGTGTTCACACGAGGCAGCTCTTACTCGACAGTTTTACTCCAGGCTGGAGGGTTACTCATTGTCATGAACACGCAGTTGGACAGGATGGTGATCATGATGATCATACTAAAAAATTTGAAGTACAGTCAAGGGAAATATGGCAAATAACTAATGACTTTCTACTGCATCATTATCATCACTACAAAAATGCTATCAAAATGATGGCATGAGAAGGATATGAATGTATAAGAACTTTGATGGCTCCTCTTCTGACAAGACTGAAAGGACTGATACAAAACAGTGCTTGTTCAGCTGTGAACCTGTAGATTGTGTTTCCCTTACTTATGACAATAAAAGTCTGCAAATGAGAAAGAGGTTAACACAAAGGCTTAAGAACAATTATGGACACCAGATGAACAGAGGTTTAGGTTTAAATACAGAGGACTGTATTTAACATTTATGGGTTTGAGACTGACTTTCTGTTTTTTATAGAAGGGGTCTATGTCCTCCAGAGGAGTGTTGAGGAGATCCTCTGGTGGGTCGCCATAGATCATTGGCAGGCACTTTCCTGCCTCCAGATCACTGCTCGGTGCCTGTGGCTCCTCCTCAACCCCCTCTACATCCTCCCTGGTGCTCCTCTCCTGGATGAGCCTGTTGATCTCCACCAGCGACTCTGGGGTGAATCGTCGGAAGACGTAGGTGCCTGTGGGAGGGAGCAGGCTTGCCATCTTGGCATCGCGAAGAGATACCACCACAACGGGGAATCTCTACACCAAGCTCCTGAAAGAGAGTGGAAAAATATATTTGAATTATGATGGATTTACCATGGACTTCATATATGGAAATAATTTATGAATATGTAATACAGTGGGGTTTGAATAAAACAAAAACTTTCTCCATTCCAAAACTTGCTTACATTTATTTGTTGTGGACGATTTGCAAGACATGCAAAGAACGAGATCTGCTCTCCCTAGCAAATTATTCAAGCATCTATTAAGAAATCATCACATTTATTTGTATTGTGCTTCATACAATACAGATTGTTTCCTAGCAAATTCACATTAATAAACCGTGAAATTAACAGTGTTAAAATGAATCAATTATGATACAAATTCAATGTAAGCTGTAAAGCAGCTCTGCAGAAGATAAAAGTGGCATTATCCCGCTCAGTTTAGTTCAGTGTTGTTTCAGCAAAGTTCAATAACTAAATAAGTGTGAGATATCCCAATTATATCATCCGTAGTGGTTCACTTCCACAATGTAGGACAGGCTGTGACTATACAAACTGCAAACTGTACCAAATTTCAGATGAACACCAAAGAACCCCGTGTGTACACCAACTAAACAAACCAAACTCTAACGACAAACAGTCACAGTCTGAACCAAAAGCTTTTTGGAGTGAACCCCCTCATTGAAAGGCCTGGGACAGCGTTTCGCTTTCTTTTTTCCTTTTACTGACAACAATCTTGGCCATATATACCTACATGTACAGTACATCCTCACTGTTTAACGATATCTCCTTTTGGTCATGAATACACCTGCAAAACAGTCTTGGCAGTTAAATCAAATATGCATTAAAACATCATTATGTTACACAGAATATACAAGACTTGGATTATGTTTGCATGAAGCAGTAAATGGTAGAATATTGTTCAAGAATAGTTCAGGAAACACATTTATGCACCATTAGTTGCAGTTGAGTAGTTTTGCCTTTAATCAGAATGGGATCAAGACATTACAAAGTCTGACATATGACATAATAGTCAGGAAGAAACATTGTTTTAAATGGAACAATTCATTAAACCCTAAGACAACAACAACAAAAAGTGTTCTTTGTTAGTATAATATGTGATACATTAGGCTTTTATGGCTCATATAGTAAGATATAGAGAATATGAGAATTTGAAGCTCATACTCAAGGAGGAAAAAATACCTTCATTTTTTTCAGAGGCTCAAACTGAGCAAAAATATGTAATTTGGTGCAGTTGCTAAAATGTATATGGCCAAAATGTCAAATTAAATTCGGATAGCTTGTAAATTAAATAAATGAGATCTCATAACAGTAGCAGACTACTTACATATAATGCCTATACGTTTTACTTATACAGTACATTTACTTAAAATCAAATATTTCACAAAAATTAAAAAGTTATTCTAAAAGGCTACAAAATATATTCTAAAAAGTTCTACTAAACATTATACTTTATTTGCTACAAAAGTATAAAATCAATTAAAACAGAAGGTTTTTCAGCAAAGTTTTGATCTTGTTGATCATTTAGAGGCCTTAGAAATGTGCGTATCCAATATGATACAGTAGGCTTTATAGGGTTAAGACTCTGTGTTGGTATCAGAATGGTTACACATTTAGCCTAAAGTAGAGATTTCTGATAATATTATGCTGTGAGCCACTTCTGTTCACATTAATAAGGTAATGAAATATAAAGTATTTCTAAACAATAACTGTACACCACTGAGGTTTTAAATGTCAGTTAAGATGACTGTGGACTGCCAGGAAAGGCCACATTACAAGCTGACCTTGAAGATGTATGCTTGGCAGACTAATACACCCTGTAAGACATGATACTACCAGCCAAACTTCCATTCTGCAACATTCCACCTGTAAGATAAATGTGTCAAAGCACTGACAAAGTGTGCAAGACCAGCAGCAGCGAGATATTTTCCCACAGTACCAAAGAGAACCGAACATCATATTACTTATTAATATAGCAGACACAGTCATCCAGGCCAACTCACATAGATCATGATGAGTTCAAAGAGACACAGCCAATGGCAGCCCACTACTACATCGGAGGAGGCTACGTGTGTCAAGCAAGGTCTGAACACTTTATCTGCTAGAAAATAACTAGATCTAAATCCAAATAATCACTTATATACCATATCACACAGCTTTTTAAACAATAAGGCATTATATCAGTATGATGACTTTCTTTAAAGCTGCTTTAAACAATGTGTATTGTGAAGAGCTTTACAAATTAATTTGACTTTACATTTGACTTAACTTGACACTTGGTCACACTTCAAGACAGTGATTTGTTGGTGAAATTGAAGTGACCACTAAATTAAAGAATGTGTGTGCATGTATATGTTTCAGCGAATTATAACAATCAATGTGCTTCTATTTTCTGTAGCTTTCAGCAATCTGCACAAATATGCCAATGCCTTATTGAACCTATTTGTATAGTCAGTCACACAACAGCTCTTTCTCATTTTCAATGTTTTTGTGGGTTTTCAGTGGGTTTTACCATAGTGATTTCCGCCTACTGTGATGTCATGTGCATACCCTCTGTATCAGTGGTTTTTAAACCCTAGATTTTAAACCCTAATCCCTGTTTCCTGGGAGAGTATAGCCTACAATGCTGGTGTCTGTTTCTATAAATTCCAACTTTGCAAGGACAGTCTGGCGCTTCATGACTGTAAGTACGTTTTCATATTTAAAGAATTTGCCACTGATGATTCAAATGCAAGTTTTGAGCAGTGTAGAGTAGCGCTTGTTGTTTGTCGTTTCTCCGCTCACTAGGGATGCTCCGATCGATCGGCCGGAGATCGGTATCGGCCGATAATCATATTTTATGACTCGATCGGTACTCACCAACTTGGCCGATCTCAGGAACCGATCGCAGTTTGATGACGTCAACGTGTGACGACTTACATGATGCGTGTGGACATAAATGATTTGGCGCCGCAGTCATGTCATCGCCGGTGTGGAAATGCTATGACGTTTCGAGAAACAATGAAAAATTAGCTGTTTGTTGTGTATGTTTTGCATGATGATATGATGAATAGATGGTTAATTTTTAACAGCAGATTCAGTGATGTTAGAGCTGATCTGCGCCTCACTGCACGCGTCTGCGGCGCTTTACGGCTCCACGGCCACCGGAGCTGATCGCAGCCGCTCTAGTCAGTGCTTGTGTTTATCAGCCAGCCGCAGCACGTTTCTGAAGCGGCTCTCTGCGCTGCTTGGTTAAAAATAGTCTTTTGTGAGTTGTCACAGCATGGAGGACGGAACAAAAACAGAGGTTTCCCCAGTAACAGCTGTACACAAAGCAGCGCTGAGCTCACGAACGCTGCTTTATCAGGCATTTAACATGCAAGATTAAATGAAAATGACATCGAAAATTTTCTAAAGATAGTCTTCCTTCAGAAATACAGTGATATAAAAACACCCGCACCTCGTTTTGATTTTTAAACGTGCAGTACGTGCTCATGTTTATTCAATCAAGCCTTTTGGAAAATCCGTCAGTTTTGATATTGTGGTGAGCGCCACAAATAAATAAATGTATGGGAAACATCCCACAGCACAACCACCTGAGCCCAACTTCAGTCTACTCATCTCCTTAACTTTAACTGCGTTTGTAGCCGGTGCCATAGCCAGACTGATAAACACAGACCGGAAGTTAACTTAAAACCACTGCTTTATATTTTACTATATATTCCTGATTCAGTCATAATTTCATGCAAAAAAAAAAAAACACTTTCAGGTTCAGTGGTAATTAAGTTTGTTGCCTGTGTTGGCCAGCGTACTTAACGTGCGCTCTCAGAAAAAAAATTTGCAAAAATTTACAAGCTGGTACAACAGCTACTCACTGGGGCAGTATCCTCAAAGGGACGCTTCTGTACCTTCTTAACCCCTAAAGCAGGGGTCTCAAACTCAGTTCCGGGAGGGCCACAGCCCTAATTAAACACACCAGAACAAGCTCATCAAGATTTTCAAGATTACTAAAAACTTCCAAGCAGGTGAGTTGGAGCTGAGTTTGAGATCACTGCCCTAAAGTGTTCATAAAATTACCATATGAGCACAGTATCTTTAGGGTACATACTACTATTCTAAGGTACTAATTTGATGTTATTCTAAGCTGTTGTACCTCTAAAGGTAAAATTTTTGCACATTTTTTTCTGACAGTGTGAGTGCAAGTTGAATGCACAAACACTTAGAGGATTCAGTGTTTCTTTATGGGGGCCAAGTATACAGGGTATGAGGGGCTGGGAAAGTGGAAAGCAGACATACACTCTGTATCACTCTCATACACATGCATACCACACAAACACTGATATGGTGGCCGCACAGCTGCCGTGGGCCATCATGGTTCAGCATCGAGTTACAGAAGCTCGATGACTCTGCTCATTCCAGCTTCACTCGCATCGCACCAATAAACAGGCCAACGCGCCAACTCAGCTCTGACCCACACCTCATCTCCCAACACCTAGACTTTTGCACTCCTTTAAACACCAGAAACAAATGATCCCTCCCCTTGATCCTTTCACCTATTACAGCACACAAGTTGTTGAGTTTCAACAGCAGGTTACTGTCAATCCATTGCCAATAATTCAGCTTGTCTCTTTTCTTTAAAATGTTTATGTGCTTATGGTTGTGACATGAATAACATTTCTCGCTCACTATTTCTGAATGACCCATTTTTGAAGCTTAGTATACAGACATTTATAAATTTGTCTGCACAGTCCACAAAAGTCTTTCAAAAGAGCAATGGTTTCCATGATATGTCCCCTTTCAGAGGTTCCTGCCCAAAATGGAGGACGTTCTATGTCATTTTCCCACCAATATTAAGCTTCACTGTGCCATTCTGGAGGAGGCTAATAAGTCACCATCAAGATCTCTTATATCACTATAGGATGAGAAAGAGCCCTGCCACCTCCTCCAATTTTTAAGAGTCTCTATCGGGTCAGGGGCCCGGTTTTCCCCAAGTCTTAA